TTCGGGCCCTTGAATAGGTAAAATGTAAAGTGCGACTTTGAAACTCGTCCCCTGCATCTCTAGAGCTAACTCTAGACTTCGATTTCGGCAAACTAGTGAGTCACCACTCCCCACATAAACCTTAAAGGTGCTATAGGCTCCACAGGTAACCTCAAGCATTCTGCTACTTCAGGCCGAATGAAGTTATGTGTACTCTCGCTGTCTCTCAACACGTGGACGTGCTTCTCATTAATTTTTCCCCATACTAGCAACGATCGAGACCTATCCAAGCCAGCTAATGCATTGAGGTTAGAAGCATCGCCTTGGATAGTCAACTGTTCCTCTTCTAAAGGCTCGGGAATTTCTTCCAAGTTCTCATCTGATCCTACGTATATCAAGAATGGGACGGAGACCACTTATCATCACAATTATAGCATAAGCCCTTGAATCGTCGCTCATTCGTCTCAGTGTGACTGATATTCTTGACTGGAATGGACCCTTTGGGTCCTTTTACCACTTGAACCCTATCACTTCGAATCTGGGTTGTGATCCCAGCCGCTTTATCTTTTGAGTTTGGTGTCCCAACTGGTGTGTTTCTTGTGCCCCCCGAGTCAAGTGTTGTGTTTGTAATGCCACCACATCGGTTCGCTACCCGGTATCTGCGTGTAGCCTCTGCGTACCTCGATTCATAAACTCTCTCTAGTGAAAAAGCTTCCACCAATGTTTTGGGGCATGAAAATAAGCAACTCACGTTAAATATCAGCTTTTAGGCCTGCTATGAACATCAAAATCAGTACAGGTTCGACGTCACTTTGTTCATTAAACATTCAAATTCAGTCTGGTAATCCTCCGTTGTGCCTTGTTGCGTCAATTTAGATAATTTTCCCACATAATCTTCAAATTGGGAAGGCCCGAATCGAATTCTAACTTGTCGTAAGAGCTCGCACCACGAACACAAGATATTGTTGCCCTTCCCCCACTGGTACCACTCTTATACCTTCCCCTCCATTGTGAAAGCAACAATACGAATTCGTTGATCATCAGGAGTCTCATGGTAATTAAAATATTCTTGCACCTTAAAAATCCACCCATCTGGATCAGTTCTATCAAATCGAGGTAAATCTAATTTCATAATCGGGTGACGATATGGAGGAGTTGTGTTCCTCTCACAAGACCCTCCTGTACTTCCTCCCACCAACTGCTTCAAGAGATTTTGCATCATCGATTTAAGTTCTTCAATCAATTCATGCACACTCTGATTTTTTTGTTGTTGCGTCAAAGTTTGTCTGTCAAATCTCTCTTGAAGTTGCTTGAGCGTGAGATCGTCCATCTTGTTGTCCGTCTTCGTCATCTCTCAACGAGGTATCAAGATTTGCGTTACTTCGAGCAAACGCCAACTCCTTGGGTCGAAACTCTTTTTCTTATATATTTCTCATAATCCAAAATAACAAGATAGCAACATATTTATATCTAACCCTAAGAATATCAAAGAGACCTAACTTAGTAGAACTCACACATATGGAAATAATATAATACTATCAAGAGGGAAATAAATAAACAAGTAACAAGCCTAAAAATAAAATATGATCCGAGCCACTTCAATCATTCATCATATAATAATCACGTTGCCAGCTGGGAGCTCGTCGTTCTCGCTGAGGTCGGTGTGTCGGGCTCAGCTGCCTTTTGTTCGTATCAGGTGGTTTGAACTTAAATTGATCCTATGAACAACATCTTCTTAGGCATGATATGTTGGTTCTGTACATAGTATACTGCTTGTTGTTGTTGCCTTGTTTGTAATGCAGGTTTGTTGCAAGGAGCTTTCGATTTATATGCCAAAGGGAGAGATTGTAAAACTCTGAAGATTGGCATTGTAGTGCCTCGTTCGAATAATAAGAGTTGGTGTATTTTATTCTTGTTTTCATTTATTTTTTGTTGCTCGACAAATTTTCTAATGAGCTTATTATGATTATTGAGATGTCCTTATTTTTTTAACCCAATAAGCTAACTAATTTCGTAGATGTTATCATCTGCTTAATTATTCTAAGTTTATTTATTTCTTTGTCAAGCGTTTATCGTTTCAAAATTTTTAGTCCAAGTACGACAACATTCTGGCAAGGATCCGAGTGGTTTTCCGACCTTTTTCCCTTAATATATTTTTTGGCCCTTTTTGCACAAGTAAATCGGCCCAAATTGTTGGAAAAATCTCGGCCTTTGAGTTAAAGAATTCGGCCCTATTGCAAGGTAAGTTTAACACCAAAACTCTCATTTCAAAATTCAAACAAAGGTAGGTTGGCATGGTAAGTTTAATCATCATTATTTCCCATGATTTTTATTCCTTGAAGTTGTTTCCTCCATGAAAGTCAAGGGAAGAATGACCTTGTGTAACTTACCATTTACTTTTAAAATCTCAATTGATGGCCTTCAATCAAGCCAATTCACCATCACGCCTCCTCATGCTGTAATCGATTAAGGAGTCTACAAGAAGGGAAGTTATCTACAAGATTTGTCTAAGTTTATTTCATGTATCAGAAATAAAAAATCCTCTCATTTCACTCTCCTACATTTCTCTCTCTCGGCTATATCAATATATTGTTTTCAAGCAAAAAGCATATCCTTCTCCACTCAAAATTCTACTTCTTTTCCCCCTTAAAAAAAATTCGAGCATAATCCTTTGTCCCAGCGACGAGCCGCGCGCTAGCCGCCGAGAGACATGCAACCTGAGCGCAAGCACCCCGACACTACGTGCGAACCTTCTTGCCGAGAGCCATTGCCAGCCGCCCGCTCTACCCTTCCCTTATTGACTGCAATCCCGAGACCACTTCGGTAGAGGAAACTTGGTTTATTAAACATGGTCGCGACAGCGGTCTCTTGGTGGAACTATGCGATAATATAAGACAATTGGAGACTCTTTTAGGGTATAGATTCTAGGATTTTTCTCTTGGAAGAGGCAATAAACTCATGATTCCTTTAAGGTGGTCTGACCCTTCCCGCCCGGTTAGTACGTAGGAAAAATTCATTTCTCTATTGCAAACGCCAAGCACATTTATCGAAATAAATCTTTTTTCTATTCCTAGAACGGGGGAGAACGCACAATGGAACCTTACAAGAAATAAATGTGTCATCAAGCGCTCATAAGCATCCCTACAAATAGTTAATCACAAACTATAAGAAACTTTTGCACGGAAATTATGGTGTGATAATTCGTATAAGGGATAATTATTAATGGCTAACCTTATACCATTTCCACAGCTCCAATCGTCAGTGTTCATCGACGGGAGTTGGTTTCACGTCAAGTATTGGATGTAGCCGAAGAACAACAGTGAGGACATTGTGGAAGACCTTACTGATTGTTTGACCCAACCATCTAAAATTAAATTTTACGACCCTATTTTTCTATGGTGACCTAAAACACTTAGGAAATAGCAACATGTTCGCTTATATGGGCATTCTTAGTAGGTATTAAGCCTCTAACATTTTGAAGCAAGTAGCATAATCTACCAAAACGATTTTGATCCATAAGAAGTTGCTCTATGCATATTGTTCATTACTATCGATTACTCGTGTCATGTGTTCTATTTGAGCAAGGAGGCGGTCAACCATACGAAACGATAAAATTCCTTGTCGCCACTTTCTCATAGATTATGTCTTGGTTCCACAAAAACTTTAACTAAGAATATGAAATTATGAATATCGTTTTCAGGACATTAATAACCTCTTCGACCAGCAATAAGAATTCAACCTCCTCATTGTCAAACTCCATGCTCACATGAAAATATCTAGCATAGAAGGAGCAATATTTTTCTGTCGGTAAAGATGCCCCCAAAGCGCCTAATACTTCTAATAGGCCATGGAATAATTAAAACATTATTCATGAAATTGATGATACATAATTACCATAAACTATGAAACAAAAAACAACGAGAATAAGCAACGTATTATTGAGTTGATAAAATAAGCATGGAACATTATTCATAAAATTGCTGCTACACGGTTAACCTCCAGAAAGGAAACATGTCGTAGCACAAATAAGAGAATATATAAATACTCATTTTTTAATAATTGGGTTGCTATGCTACACAAATTCAAAATTTGAACATTGAAAAATATAAGGTTTGTTCACAATAAGATGTAAGAATCGTCCTAGTGAATCAAACAAAGAACTGGCAACTGCAAAAATATCGTCTACATTGCTATTTCGATCAGCTCGTATGGGTCTCCCCTTGCACAATTGTGTGCCACAAAATTGGGAAAAAATTTCTGTGTTGTTAAACTTATCAAGAACAACAAGCGATGCATCGTAAATTACTTGTAATAAAGAAACGAGAGCACTAGGATTATCAGTCGGGGAAGCTGTGACCCCTGCACGATGATATTGTAGAAGCGAAAAACAAAATTATTAAGAGACATAACATTAAAGCAGAGACAACATAAATTAGTTTTACAGCAAGATCAAAATATGTTACCCTTTTATTTGGGTAACATTGTAAATTTGATTCAATAAAAGTTACTTTGGAGTAAAAAAATAAAAAATAGGGGTCAAAAGGGACAATTCAATAAGGCAGTAATCATGCCCTCCCCAAAGATTTTTAATCACGCCGGCAAAATATAGATGGACAAAATCACGAACTGTCTCCAATCCTACGGGCATGTTTCTGTGTTTACAAACACAGGATTCACCCAAGTTTCGTGCTCTTATCCCGTGTAATCTTACAAAGCAAACAAGGCCCAAGTGAAACAAACAAAATTGGTAGTCCGTTGCAATCCAATCCCGAGCCTAAAAAATGTCCAATCATATCAAAGTTTACAAACAAGGCCTAAATGGAGATATTGTCCTAATTCAGATCCAATCCCAATCAACATGCTGCCAAAATATATCTTAAATATCTCGAATAAATGCACACAATGCAGTAATCACAAAAATTGGTTAACAAAAAATACTCACAAAAAAAATGAAAAATATTTAAATGTACTGTACAGAAAATGAAGAGTTGTGCTCAGTCAAGTCATGAAAAAACTAACAATCTTAGGATAACATTGTTCATTGTGGCTACCCAAAATATCACATACAAAGAATGCTCTTCAAACTTCAGGAGAGAACGCAAACGTGAAAAGGAATCCAGAACACGGATGTCATTCATATATACAAAGAGCCAATTTAGAGTTATGGTCAAAAATTGAATAATCCAAAATACATCAAATTCTGCCAAACAGAAAAACCATATGTTCCTATCTAAACAATGAAAACTTCCACGCTATTTATCAACAAATACGAACTCTCAGCACTGGTTTTCTCCTATTGGGAGTCTCAGAGATCCCCAGCTGTCACCACCACTCCACACTGCAAATTTGGTAAACGAAAAAAAAAACTCCTTACTAAGATCTAATAAACGATTAAAAACAAATATCATTAATCAAGATGTTATAAGGGAACCTTTCGAAGGCTGCTCAATCCAAGGTCCGTTCATAACAGTAAGAATGCTGCATGCATCACTGTATTCTAGATTTGGTAGCAATTTCGGGGTCAGCAGAAAACACCTGCAAATAAAGACCACAATTAAACAGTTCGATTTAATTTGGAACTAAGATAGGGTTTTGGGTTTTTCCCCCTTCGTAGAAACAAAAGCAATTACTGTGGAGTGTTTGGCTGGCTTGCTGCTCTGACCAATTGCTGAAACATTTTCCTCTCGTTTATGGGGTCCATACCTAGGAAGACAATTGCACATATTGACTAATCTCTTTCAATTAATAAAGTGATGCAGCAAATATATTTGAGAACCCAAATAAAACCTTGATTGATCTCATCAACTACCCTAAATGGGCAGTTTGTAAGGTCTTGTAAAGAAACAAGGTAGAGAATGGTCGAAACTGAGCGCTCCTAGAAAAAAAAACAAATTGTATAAAGAAATTAGAAGCTGCTGAGATAAGTTTCTGTTCATTGTGTATATATTATATATATGTAAGACAAATGCTGTACCCCGCCTGATTGGTGATGGGCACTTAAAACCTGAAGCTGTCCAGTTTGCCTGGTGAAAGCAATGGAAACAATAAAAATCACAAAATAGCATAACAAAGTAGCGTTAAAATGGAGAATATTTAAGGTGATGTAAAATGCTTGCATCTACAAAGGATGTTCTAGTCAAAATTGTACGACTTGATGCAAGTCAAAAACTAATGTGTTAGCATAAGTCCTAAGCAAGACAGAAACTTGCTTCAGTTAGACATATACTTGCGCCAGAATGAAAACTAAATCACCTGAACTTTACTTTGATTAGGATTCCATATTGATCAAAATCTGTGTCGCGTTCGTCTGAAATAAAATTGACTGATCAGCACATAAATCCCTAGACACCGCAATGAAGATTGCACAAAACTTGCAAAAAATGAAGTGATGGTGAAGTCATGACAATTACCTAAAGACACCTCGCCTGCTACAGCCATCTCTTGAAAATTGCGACTAAAAGTTTCATTAATCCGAGTCACGAGATTTCTCAATGTTGGAAGCCAACGTCCCTATGAAGACAATCCACAATCAGAACAGTTGGGTTTTGATACATTATAATATGTAAAAATAGTGTTGGAACATTTTTAAAGATGATCTATCAGTAACCTTCAGAGCATTGATTTCATCAAGTAAGTCCTTTAATTCCTTTCCATCCATTTCTTGCTTCCTTGTCAGTTCCCCAATCTGCATAATTGCCGTTTTCAAACACAAATAAAGAAAGCAGCAAGTGTTTTACAAATGCTAAACACAATGGGATGTACCTTCCGTTGACGGCTTTCATATTCCTCTAAGATGTTATTGTTAAGGAAAAGGATAGAATTGGCTTGTGATATTGTATCTTGTATTGTTGCCTCCAACTCTTCAATAGTAGCAGGCATCTGCAAGTAAATTTCCTAAATTAGCATTACTAAACTCCATCAAGCTAAGAAGCACATAATGCAATAGCAGAAAGGGATTGGCTATAACTAATAAGCAATTGCAGCATACAGAGAATAAATATACCAGACTGCTACAACCAATAATATTTGGAAATTATATATTTATAATCAAAATTCAGTAATACAGATCATTTTTATTTGAGAAAGTCAAAACCAGTTTATTCATTTGATTTGGGCAAACCTATAAAAATGTATACCAACATACTAAAAGCACATCAATACTTTGCAGCATCATAAGTTCAGCCAGGATAATAACCTTTCGAAAGGCCTGTGAAAGCTCAGGAGTAATTACAGCAACTGATTTTGCATGCTCCATAGCAACCGACAGCTGATGTCGGAGATTCTCCGTGACACTCTTACCTAATCAACAAGTCATAAAAAAAATAATATACTATAAAAAAAGGAACCATGGTACATCTCATATCAGCTTTTAACGAGAAAACAACAGTGGTGAAATACGAAAACATTAGGACAGTAATAATATACACAGTTGAATGATCAGAGGGCTATATTTTTTACCTTTTACAACATACACAATCAGTGGAACCAAGTTTACTGATGCAGAATAGTTGATCATATTTAGGTAGTTTCAGAAATTTAAAGAGCATGAAGCTTAAGTAGAGTAATTAAAAAAAAGTAGTAACCTTGAGTAATAAGTGGAGCCAAATCTATAATAGACTAAAGAAGAGTTGTGGGAATAGTAATTATCCATTTCCCAGAGATGTACAACTAGAAGGGCTTTTGTCTTTATCTATCATAGAGCACACTTACGAATATAAGTCGAAGGAAAGTACAACCATGAGCACTGATAGGTCATGCAGATATCTTACTTTCGCCAGATACCAACAGACTGGACCGTCCACAAAATGATAGGGTTCAGTTAACAGCTCATGCATCTTGAAGAATTCCATGATATTTATTCTATTACATGCCTACATTCAATTTGCAAGAAAACTGTCGTGGAGAAAAAAAAAATTGTCAGACTCAAACCCTAGCAGACTTTGTGCATGTCGAATTTTCTTACATGTAACTACATCGAATCTTTGTAGCCATATTACATCAACTTACACGGAAAGGAGACCACAGAAAGTAATCAATATTTCATGCCATACAGATTTAAAGTATTTTGATTGCTTTGTTCAATTAAAATATAATATAGATGGCCTAACTGAAAATTTTGAAGCTTTGCCCACATTTTCAATCACAATAAACTTTTCCGTGCATATTTCAATTGATTTAGCACACCATGTATGTTGTTCTTATCCTTATGTTGGATAATCAATGTGTGATCTATTCAGATTGAAGTCTGTAAATGACTAATATAAATTTAACAGAACAAATAAAAGCTTTTAGGGAATGGTAACATATGTGCTTCTCATATCCTCCAAAAGGCACATGATTGTAGAACACATATAGTAGCAGTAGTTGTACCACACTCCGGCTTATGTTGGTATTGTGAGTTGGTCACTCTCGGATGTCATTACGATGTTGTATAACATCTTATCACATGGTCTCTTTAGGAAACTGTTGGATGCTTCCATAATAAACAAGATATAAAATGCATAAATAACATCTGAGCTCACTGGTTCAAAAAAGTATAATTTCAAAATCATGCAGAATGTTAGCACTTACGATTTTCAAGATTTTGGGATGCTTGCATAGCTATCTTCTCCTGTTGCTTTGCATTGGATTCCATCTCCTTAATCTGAAGAAATAGAATAATATCTAGGCAGAACCGACAAAGAGAATAAAGAAAAAAGTGAAGAATCTATCCTACCACAACCACATCATGTTGCGGACCTTTCTTGTAGTCAATAGAAGTTGACCAAGAACTAACCACGTTCAGTGGGTAAGAATTTATCTTACATTATCACTTGACGGTGTACCAGTATCCTCTAAGTTGACACCTTCTTTTGTAGGTTGCCTTAAAATTAACTAAATCCATTTTGCAAAGAAGAAGTAACTTAAATCTAGCTAATTATACCAAGCTCTAAACGCAAGAGTGGAGACACTAAGAAAACTATTTTTTTTCTTTTCAAACAATTTCAATCCCCACAAAAATATATTTCCATCACCAATCAAAACTAAAATCAAGAACACCAGACCTTCAATTTTCTTATAAATAGCCAGACAAACACCAAACATGAGATCCATTAATTAAATTCCATAATATATAATTCTTAATTACTGACAGATACAGATTGTTAGTTGACACTTTGTTAATGACACTTGAAGGACGTAACCAAATGTAAACATGATTCTTACAATCAAATAATCATAAAAAAAAATCTTCTGATAGCAAAATTACAGTTGGACAGTTGCAAGTTGCAACATAAAAATTACGTTCAAAAACATTTATAGTGAGACCGACCTGCTTGGGACTAAAAGGCTATGTTGTTGTTAGACCGACCTGGAATTTCAACTATTTTACATTCTCTGTATCCTTTTCTAAAATTATAAGAAAATAAGACGTGCATTTTCTGTCCTATAATTATAAGAAAATAAGACGGGCATTTTCTGTCATCACAAGAACAGTTGGGCATACCTTAGCTTCAAGTTCAATGGAGCTCATGTTATTTTCAGCAAAACTTCTTCGATAAGCAACAGCCTCAATGAGCAAATTCTACCATTAGAAAACAATGAGAAATATAAGAAACCAGGATCTTGAGTTAGTCAAAGCTAAAAATAATTCCATAACTAGCCAAAAAATATTTGCAAACTTTAAACCGAAACTGACTCACCTTAACCTCAATAGCACCATGGAAACGCTGACTCTTTAATTCATTAACCTTGTCAGTGAGCTTTGCTATTGCAGCATCTGGATCATCCTCTCTTTCTATCGACTTCAACTTTATTCTCCTTTGGTCTGAAATTGAAGAAAACCAATGTCATATCTATATATCCATGAAAATATGATCTCTACACAAAAAAAGAAACAGCATTTAACTTACTGACAGTTTGTTCCAACTCCCTCAATTTTTTCTTCTTGTTTTGCATGACGTTAACAATCTCCTCCTGAGATGTCATCAAGTTATCATCTCACCCATATTCCTTACACCGATAATAGTGCTTTATAAGTGATACATCAATAAAAACTATTGTACTTTATATGTGATAACTTTTTGTAATCCCTTAATTTCTGGAGCATTAAGTCTTGCTTCCTAACATATGGACAGTCCAATATGATACCCATAGTCTACCAAGTACACAAATAATACTAGCATCATCATCCCCGACGGCAGAAATAACTTTGACCAAACACAATCCCTGTTGCATCAAATTATCTACAACCATTTAACAACTTGTCGGCACACTTGCACATGTCTATTATAACTTATACGCATATCATCAAAAACTGTTAAAGAGTAAGAGGACCTCAAATTTCCATTCCAGCACAAAGTAAAGCTATTAGCAGTCTTAAAACTGTTTTCACCTAGGGGCATTATGCAGGAAAACCACCATCAAATATTGTTTGGCCAAAAAAATAATATAGATCACATATTTCCGGTGAAGAACACATAAACTCTCAGATGTATTAGAGTTTTCTCTGACACAATATTAGCAGCTATATGCTCTGTAACCTAACATGAACAGAAGAGCAATTTTACATCCATACTATCTACTATAACAAAGGGAAATGATGCACATACATTTTCTGCCATGTCATGGTCTCACAAACATGCTTCTACAACAACTTTTTTGATATGCCGAACATCTCTCAAGTTAACGCAGAGATAAATAATTAATGGAGAACCATATTCTCTTAAGGATACCAAATAAGCAAGTTAAAGGATCAGTGGTGAATCTGGTGATGGTAACTTGTAAGTTGAAATGATACCCATGCATATGTTTTTACAAAAACTGTGTGAGTCATGGTATTACAACACAATATTAATTTAATAAAAGAACTCAGTTATTCAATTATGTAAGTTCTGTGGCATTTCAACCGAGTAAGTTTCAAATGAAATCACACAGTCCAGTGTCAAACAGTTTAATGTAATTTTGCATGCAGAAACTATATGCACTAATGAGCATTGAGATTTTCCTTCGCGTAGATGATTCTTATACCATGGTCTTGCAAAATTAAAAACAAAAAACCAATACTGATGAACTCTACGATAGGGATAGATAGGTAAATTTTCATGGCCATGTTTCTGTATGGTAATATGTGTAAATATGAAGCATAATGCTTAGTGACACAAGGGAAAAACAGTTAAAATGTGCTGCCTCTATATACTAAAAACCCAAAATTTGGATCTGAACAAGAAATAATAAGCTAAATTCAACATAAATTAATGATTGACCCATGTGAATATCGTACCAAAAATCAAAATTCAGTGCTTCTAACCAGTAAGCTTCAAGACTGGCCAATGCAATAAGCTAGGAAAAGTATGATAATGAATATTGTGATGGTTACTTGTCACCCAATTGCCATCTAATAAAATACTCTCTTACCTCACTCATAGATTTTTAACAGTCCATAAAGGTTGGACAACAACTCCCTGTACAACCGCTTACCCGTTCGCGCTGAAGTTCAGCTGCTTCATCTTCCTTCTGTCTTAATGCAATTTGCAGAGACTTCAAATCTGCATCTATGGCAGAAATTTGCTCCTCCAGTTCTACTTTCTTCGATCTGGCAATGTCAATTTCCTTAACATCCAAATCTGAGAGGGCAAGGTTTGAGCTTTTTCAGTTAAAAACCATTTTTTTCTTCTGGGGAACCAACTACGACTATCTATTTTCTTATACACTACTATATTTGACAGCTGATAGTTGTTAAACTATTGAGATAACCAACATTGTAGAGAACTGATGATAATTTATTCTGAAATAGTCAGTTTGCCCTGAACTACAAGACGTTAGATTATATAAGACAGAGAACTGAACAGTCTTCCAGAAGCTTACTGCATAAAAGAAGTCGAGATTGGCCTACTGATTCAACATTTCCAGACACATGACTGCCATAGCGGGATCTGGACCAATGATAATGATTTTCTGGTGTCCAGACGTCCATAATTCCCAATCTAAAGACCAGGTCAGCTTTCTCATCAGTTTCTTTTGATCCAATGTACTGAGAAGAGAAAACCACAAAAACATGAGGCCAATATTCACTCTCAGAGATGCTCAACGTTGTTCATCATCATCATCACTGTTGCTAAGATTTCATATGATGAAAACACGAAAGTGAACAAAAAAGCATTACTGAGTGATCCAGTCCAAATTGACCAATCAAAACTTCTTTGACAGCATGGGGAGCTTCAAAGACTTGGTCAAGCCTTGAAGATATGCCAAGTTTACGCATCTGCATAGTGAAATCAAACAGAAGATCAGCAAGCTATTAGCAAATCCAAACTACTGAAATTTAATGAGGCATCAGTTCAGTACTTCTTCCGTCATACAAAAGGGCTCTCGGTTGCCACCATCATTAACATGATTGATAACGGGAACACCAAAGGGTTTCAGATTTTTATACAGTAAATCACGATCATTGGAATCCTGAGTGATAAAAGCCTGGAAATGTAACCAGTAAGTTAAAGAGAATACTAGATAAAAAACAGATGACAAAGCTAAAAGAATATACAACTCATGATTCAGAGGAACTGCAGACTACCCAGGCATTATGCCGGGGAGACAATAAATGAAACAAAATCACAGGAAAAATAATACTTTACATTTATAAACAACAAATAACCCGAAAGGATGTAATAACCTAAAGGTTAGGAGAGCCGAGGGTATTGATTTTTTCAGCAGACCATACAGTATCTTCATTTCATTTTATTAATGATCAAAATAATCAATGAACAGATGGATATAACAATTTGTTACTGCTCTAAGCAGCAGCCCCTAGCAACATAATTACTGTGCTTAAAGGGTTTCAGTATCCACTCTAAACAGATTCATGAGTTTATTTTCCCAGTGCAACAATCGAACACTACTTGTCACCCAACTGTATTGAGCATTCATTTTCTTTTTCATTGTATGTTACGATACAGAATTTCATAAATAGAAAACAAATATTTGCAATCAGTGGAAAAGACGTCCATGGAAGACTATGCAATGGCTGAACTAGAACTTCAAAATCCTAGCCTCCCATCTCTGGTCAAAGCCGAAACAAACAAATAATCTATGCCAAACATAATGCTATCCAAACACTCTAAAGTTGACTCTTTATTGCCTAAAACTTATGTGACTTGCAGTCAACCATACAAACCAAGTAACGACATTGACAATGCCATATGGCCTTCCTTAACATCCAAAAATAATCTTAGATCATTCAATTTGATATCGAAGACAAAATTATAAAAAAAATAAAAACAAAAAATAAAAAATTAATCACAATTGAAATATGAATGACAAGGTTAATCTTCTTCCATGTTCTGACAACATAACATTTGAAGTTTTCAAAATTTATGCCAAAGAACCACAGAATTATTTGCTTGTTTTAAATAAGAAAAATGAAATTAAAATTTAAAACAAGGTCCAACAGATCAAGCTATATAGCACAGATATGTACCTTCCATATGTAACGGGCAACATGGCCCTCTAGGTAGTCAGCATGAAATCGATTGGCAATGTTCACCTGAATATGTAGTTTCAACAATAACATCGCAATGATTAAGGCATTGGATAAAAGTATCATATATAGCAATCTCAAGTTTCTAATTATGCACCTCAAGCAATACAGGGCCATAAATTTCCATATTGAACATGCTCCGGTGCTCCTGAACCCATTGATACGCCTCAAAGATGTTCTCAGCACCAGAACTTTTTAAAGCTTGTAATCGCTTATTGTTGACATTCTCCATTTCCCTTAACCTTTGGGTCATAAAGGGAATGACAAATAAGGCTGAGACTATCCGATATATAATGAAATAGTTGGACAAAGTGCTGATAGTCACCTTTGCATACACTGCGTCAGGTTCATTTTGCATTGGTTTAAATCCTTCTCCTTTTCTCTTTTATGATATCTCATCTCTTTCGCAGATTCTTCCAGCTCCACAATTCGAGCACTTAAATTTTCCTAAATATAGCCACAATCAACGATAAGAATAAATGACAAGAACTTAAATAATTATTCAGAAACAACTTTGTGACTTGTACATTCTGTAGAATAAATGATTAATATATGCCATCTTCCATAGCCAGACATGCACCATCTGTTAAAAGAGAGTTAAACGCACCATCTTCTGTCGTGGAGGTTCATAAGGAGGAAAATTCCTGAGTTCAGCCTCAGCAGTGGCAAGATCTTCCTTAGCTTTAGAGATTCTTAATTGGCGAGATTCTTCCTGATGCCTCAAATCATTCACTTCATCATATGCCCCTTGTACTAGTACTCCCTACCATTGTAAAACAATATCAGACAGTTTGACAGGTGGAACACATGAACAATACATGCAGATTAATAATAAAAGTAAAATGGAAACATACTAAACGGTTATAGTTGTCCAAAAGCTGCATACGCTTCTTCATGTTTCTGTCTAGCAAACCGTTTATCTTTTTCACTTTAGCCTCCAATTTTGCGTTATCTGCCTTCTGTTTTCTGAACAGTAAAATATTAAGAAACAAGACAAGAAGCAATCAGTGCTTAACTTATATCAAATGATACACCTAGAGATACAAAACAAGCTAAGCTAGTTCCAATGATTGAGATCGGCCACAAGAAGTTTAATGCATTGACTTGGCATATGAAAATGGCCATCACCAATTTCAAGAGCTGACCTAGCTCAACCTATCTTGTTATAAATTAGGCAATGTTCACACACATTTTCAAGCTTATTTTGAAATAAAAACCAAGCTTGATAAGATTTAACAGATAAATATATATATATATACACACACAAAAATACATAAAGCTCATGTGTTTCAGAAAAGAGACTAGATACAGTAAAGTGAAATAATTTGCGATTTTGGCATCATCCATGAGTACATTTATTTGCTTTAGAGGGTGTTGGACAGAGCTTATAAGCTCTTCTAAGCATCTATTAAGATGTTTAAAGGCATATGAGCACATAAAATTTATGTGGTAATCTTTTTTAAAAGAGCTCATAAGATGACAAATTAAGCTCTTTAAGAGCTTATAAGCGCTCCTTAAATAAAAGCAACCCCCACCCCAACCCACCTTTTTTTGTCATCTTACAAATTCCTTTGTTTTTCTCATTTACAAAATCTTGTGAGCCCCCAACATTTCTTATAACTAAACACTTCAAAATAAGACATAACTTATCAGCTCCGGAAAAATCTTATAAGACATCGAAGCTTTTTATATCTTTTGAATAAGTTCGATCAAACATCCTCTGCGTGCAAACAACTAACCTTTCATAGGTTGCATACATTTGAAAAGGTGCAACGGATAAGTAAAGCAACAAGCTTTCAGAAAAGAAAAAAAGGTCCAAGCAGATTAGCTCACTCAATGGGGTCCAAAAGGTTTTTAAGAGCTCTGACAGCCTCGTCTAGCTTCCCCTTTGCTTCAATCTCCTGATTTTTGGCTCCCATATACTCTGCCTTCTTCATATCATACTTTAACCAAGGCAACTTTTTCTTCATAGAGTCAGCCTGGAAGCATATGAGCGATCAAATACTCATGCACCAAACTGATTGTTCCCAGAAGATAAGAGCAAACAACGATGAATAAACCTTTGCTAAGAGATCTTCTCTTTGGCGAACACGTTCAACATCTTTTTCTAGTTCTGCATTTTGGGCCTTGAGTTGATCCAACAAACCTTCATTGCTGGCAACAGCCTACGGTAAAATGAGAAGAATAACTACATTTATTCCTTACTAGATAACATTACGAGTATGAAAAAGAGGGACCACATGAACACTCACTCGTTCGAACTTCTTCAACTCCTGACTCTTTGATATGAGAGTCCTATGCTGAACAGGTAATTGGGGGTCCCCAACAGCTTTTTCAGTCTCTTCAAGGAGTTGCACGGGGGTTAGCTTGGCAAACTCACAAACCCTGTCTTGTGGTAGAAACTGAATGCATTCCAAACAAATGGAACGGGTTGTTAGATGCTCAGTTAAGCTACGTAAATAAAGTAAAGCAATATGCAACCCATATACAAGCAAATAAACGTTTCTGAATCTTTCAAAAAGAATCATTTAGCTTGCAAAAGTTTGACTAAATTTTCCAAATTTCTTATGAACAAAATGTATTCTATCAGGTAAACACCGCAACTTACTGAAATGTGATACACAAACTAAAGATCATATAAAAATGCAGTATTGCAATATATATTAAATACAAAATGGAACTTAGAAGACAGCAGATGGCATCCTAAAATACCACGTGACCATAGTTGTTAAAGGTGAAAGGCACACGAAGGAATAGCGGCTGCTATGGAGAGATCCACAAGGACCACGGCGAGGTACGCTTCGTTTCTCCATGACAAATATGCACACAACATACTAGACAATGCAGCAAAGAATGGCCAAATGATATTTTTCACATGACAACTGTCTCGAGATCCAAAAAAGAAAACAAGAACGATATCTTAAATAAGTACTCCAATCAGATGAAATATCCCTTCCCACTACGATTGATATGATATACCAATATGTCCTTCAGTTAAAAGACATGCAAAATGTTTTAATGGTACAGTAAAAGTTTATAATACGTATAGAAAAAGCAGCTGAGAAAAGACACTATCCCCATCAGGTAAGATGAACTGTTTAAAGGAACAGCATTTCAGAGAAAAGCTGGCACCCTTAGAAATTAAAAATATAACTATTTCTTAGATAACTGAACATATATAGCCCCTACACGACAAAATAAGTTTATCAAAAACTTACTTGAGTCAAATTATTGACTTGGATGTTGAATCTTTGTATTACTTCATTAATCTCCTTTTTCGCTACCACTTTACCTGAATAAACAAATATATAAAGCTCAGAAACTTCATCTCAGATGTAACAAAAATGCAAACCCAGAGAAATAAAATATGAAAGGCTTAATTTGTTTTTATGTGGCTCTATGCTGTAAATGAAGAAGCGCTGATAATATTCATTGTTCATCCTAGGAAATTTCCAGATTTCACACAAGAAATGAAGTGTCGTGGAGGGGGGATGTGGTTCAGAGAGCAGTGACGCTCTAGTCTATTAAAGTCTCCTTGGCATGAATTCATCTTTATGCTCTGTTGGATGAGGAAAAAAGGTCATCTGCATGACTGCATCTTTTCACCAGCACATCCGTGCATTCACAAAAGAGAAAAAAAAAAGAAAAAAAAAAAGGTAATGGGTGTTAAAATAAATGATATCAACATCACAAATCCTTCATGATTCAATGGATGGTATTGACCTGCATATGCTTCAGATGATATTAACAGAGACACAGCACAGCTTTTTAAAATTATAAAAGGTCCTTACGATTATCATCTAAGAGATCACGCTCAGAGCATAGGTTCAGGCACGAGAGCATGACTCTGAGTTATTAACAAGAAAATCAAGGACTTTACCATTATACAGCCACTCAGATTTGTTACGAGTATCTATTTTCCTTGTAACTGTGATAGGCTCTTCCTTGGTTTCTCCTCTCAGGCAAATTTCAATGTACCCATGCTCCTCCCCACGCTTCACATAAGCACCAATGCTAGTAGCCCTCCCCAGAAGCTGCACATTTAAGCTTTTTATCTCAAAACCACTTCAGATGGATAGGAAAACGAACAAATACGAGTGATCATTAGAGTCATTATAACCTGAGGTTCACCTCCAAGCCCTAGTGCTATGGCACAAACAAGAGAACTTTTTCCTGATCCATTTGGTCCAACAACCAAATTTAAGCGGGAGGCTGGCTTACAGATCAGTTTATTGAAGGTCATAAAGTTGCAGAGCTCAATTTTAGTTATGTTTCCTGGCATGTAGTCATCGTCACCCCTGCGCGTAAATGAGAAAGGCGCAAAATTTAAAAACTGAAATAAGATATTTGAAGTGCACGGTTAATTTTCCTCATGTATCTTTTTGGTTTTCAGCAACCAAAGTTTTAGTTTTTTTTTATTATTATTATTCAACAAAATTACACAACAAACACAGAGCTAAACAAAAAGAACTTGGGCTGACCCATAAGGGGGATAGATAGGGACAACAGATCACTACATTTGAGTATTCGGCTGTAACAAATTCCAATTATTCATAGCTGACTTTGCAGATGTTTTATTCCACATTCACTTTATTTCTGGTTTTGCTTAGATAAGCATATGAAACTGATAAGCAAAAGCTGCTCGTCACTCCATGACTCGAACCATATCCCTCTAATCCTAGTAACAAATGGATTTGTACTCAAGAGTGTTAGAGAATACATACATATCAATTTTCAATATATAAACTTAGGTATGGTATCATTATTGCCCACAGCAGAGCATCCTACATTCATTATCTATTAAAAGGTGGAAATTTTATCTCTGAATTTCAACAGATGCCATAAAGAGAAATGATTTGTCTGCTGAAAAAAGATAGATGAAAAGAATGTCATGAATGAAAAAATAAAACCCCCACAATTAGAATAGAACTAGCTAGAAAGAGAATCACGAGCCACTTGGACTGTCGGATGAAAAGGCCATTCAACACAAACTTATAACTTTAATTCCGTCAAAGGATGAGCCTTGAGCTAAATTACAATAGCTGGAGTATGATTAACGAAGCGCAGCAGAAAAAGACAAAAAATGAGACGTCTGAAGCAAGTAGAAATGATTCTAAATCCGGGCGCAATACTTTCTGCACAAAAGGTTGTACCTTTACAACCCTAAATCAGCGGGATCGACATTTGCATCCAAAAGAACAAATTAAAAAGAAAATGGTATAAAGCGTAGTCTACATGAATGGAATAAGAAAAGCAGAAGGGGAAAACACGATAAAACAAGCATGAAAATAGTAGTGCAAAGGAGAGGGATAGACCTCAAAATCCTGGACCTCTTCGGTCTAGGCTCGTCCGCCATTGGCATGCAGATTCCTGCAGAAACTGTGGTACAGCTGAACACTTTCCCAGGTTCAGGTGACTAGGGTTTTGCTCTGTGTTCTGTAGTGCGTATTTTGTGTTTGTGAAGAAAGACGATACATCAATACTGCAAAACCGGGTGCAATATGAGAGAAATGGCGCCAAAAGCAAAAGCACGTGCCACCGTGAGCGTGTATATCTCTATTAATTATATATCTAATCCTCTTATATTAATAACTAGTACGAACTAATATGTAATCTCGTGCGATGCACATGCTGTATTTGTTTTGATAAAATTTATAGTTGAAGGCTATTAATCAATAAGTTATAATACATAGAACATTTGTTAGGTAATCGTAAATATTCATCATGAAAAAGTCATACATTATGAGAAACCTCTTAGTTTTTCCATGCAAAATTATTTTGCACTTGATAACCGTAGATCAATATTTATCAAGATTGTTGTTCACTTGGAAATTGCTAATTGCATAGACACCTCATTCCTTCAATTTTTTGTTGATTTTCGGAATGTTACCATCACGAAATAGAACTATAGTGAAAATATGTAATATTGTGATAAATACTAAAGATATAATTTATCTCGTGAAGTTTAATTTTACATAGAATATAAGAAGAGTTGTTACCTTAAAGTGTGGATTTTGAGTATATCTTTTTAACAGAAATTTGAAATTTTGATTGTATCTTTTGTAAAACAATATATACAAAAATAATTACGTCAAAGAAAAACAACAACAACAATATTTTACCATTTGTAGCTCAAACCTAACTAAATTATTGGATGACATGTAAATCACGGTTTTTAAATAAAAAAAAAATATTTCATAAATAAATGGATAAAAAAAATAATTGTGATAATATAAACAAAAAGATGTTTACATGAGTAGTGGAATAGTGAATCGAATATTGTAGCAATTTTAAAAAACATGTTACTATGATTGAAATTAAATATTTACAATATTTTTTACTTTAATTACATTGCATATTTTGCATAACTATATGTGAAAAAAAAAATTAAAGTTCAAATATGTGATTTATTTATATGTATATGATAAAGTGTACAGTCCAAATAATTAAATTTTGTTTAGTATTTATATTATTAATATTGATACGATGATTATTGTAAAGTCCTACTCTCATTTTTACGGTAAATATATATTACATTAAAATGAATTGATCAGTCCAAAAAGAGATGTCGAGTGAATTAAAAAGATTGAATCGTGTTTAAATTATTTGATTCTATAATTATATTGATTTTAGAAAAATACTCCATAATATTTGTTTCCATAATAATACTGCTTTTAAATATAATTGATTCTAAACATCCAGATTTAGTGTTTAATAAAATATTATGGAGTATCATTTTAAAACAATAAATCTGGTTATTAAGAGAAGTTAAAAACGGATTACAATTAATGCTTCAAGATTTGTTTTAAGGAATTGTATAAAATTACTATAATTAGAATGTAATTAATGCATAATGGCGAAAAATACTTATTATATTTGATTTAAGTCTATTCTTATTTTATATATATAGATATAGATGACATATATTTTTTGTTTGTCAATGCGCAAGACAATAAAATATCGATTATCTACTGCATGGCAGTTGTAGCATTTTTTAATAACTTAATGTTAATTATCAGTTCATTCGCAAAAGAAATATTTCGTGTTTCTCAATGCGTAAAAGAAAATGAAAATGTTAAGTTATCTAGTATGTGGCAGTTGTCAATTTCTTTAATAAAAATCTAATTTTTAATCTTTTAAGAATCAATGCGAATGTTATATTGTTCATTGTCTATCATAAAATTTGATGTATATACATATTTTTTATATTTTATGAGTAGAGTATAATATTTTTATTAACCAGAATTATTAATTAAAAAACAAACTGTATAATTTTTAAAAACATATTATTTTTCATGAAAAATCCTTCCCAAAGGAAAAACTAATTAAGTAAAATAGTCGGCAGTTTTTTCAATACACATGGCACAAAAATAAGACTTTCTATTTATAGTAATGAGATGAGGGTCCCACCAAAAACATTCTATATTTAGTAAGTGACTTGTCAAATTATATAGTAATAGATAGATAGATTATATATAACTAGTACGAATCTCGTGGGGTGCATGAGTAAGAAATATTTATAAATTATAAATGCTCATTAAATAATATTTATAAATTAGAAATATGGAATCAATATGTAATACAACTTACTTATATTAATTTGTTGAAAGTGTTATATGAAATTTAAATTATGTCTATTTAAAATTAGTACATGACTCGTACAATTTCCTCTCAGAAAACTGAACACTATTGATCTCTTCACTAAAAATTAAAAATACAAATCACACCAGCTCACAACTCAAAAGAAAATTCCNAAAAAAAACGTCCTCACAAAACGTCTCGTCCTCCTTTTATCTTTAATCACGTATGGCAAGTCTCGCACAAGTTAGGTAAATAGTTACTCTTTAAAAAATAATCAAACCTTTTTACATATACTAGTACGAATCCCGTGTGATGCACGGGTAAGATATATTCATTAATATTTATAAATTAAAAATTCTCACAAAAAATATTTATAGATTAAAATTATAGAATCAATATGTAATACGATTTACCTAAATTAATTTATTGAAAATGTTATACAAAATGTAAATTGTGTACATAAAACATGTCTACTTAAAATTAATATACAACCCGTAGGTGCTCGTAACTGATAATAATTACATTTTATTCTTTTTAAAATAAGTGTTATTTTAAAATATTAATTTAAATTTTATTTGACTACAATGTGATTTTATAAAATAATTATTTTTGTAAACTTTTATCAGTTATTTATAAATCTATGTGAATAATAAGTATAATTATAAAATTTATATTGTTTAATTAATTAGAATAAATTTATTATAAACTATCTAAATCAAAAAATTTACATAGTTGAGTAATTAATTAAACTATAAATAATTGACAATTCTATTTACGTCCAAATTAATATTGACATGTAAGTTGTGAATAATTACTAATTTGAATTTTAAACTTGGAACCCAAATTTGGACTACACAATAAATTTTCTTATTATATATACACATATTATCTCGCAATTTTTTGGATTTGTTGTCGGTTACCTTATCCTTCAAATTTATTAACTAATTCTCTATAATTAAATTACATATTTTAAATTTTATTAATCAATATTAGTTCCAAGATCTTTCTGATTTTCAAGATGAATACATACCAATTTGTCGAATTGTCATCAATATCTCAAGTTATTAAGATAATATGCTAAAATTTGATGATTTATCACCTTGATTTTATAACAAATCAACCTAAAATTAGACTCATCCCAAATAAAATTCATATATCTATATATATCTAAAAAGGTTGATGTAAAAATCATTTTTAGAAACTTAAAATAAATTGAGTTGACTTTTGACTTTCTATTTATGTAATCTCAATCAAATTTTGAAAAAAAAATCGTGAATAGGATTATGTAATTGGTATTCCCGTTAATTAAGTATCAGATCCCATTAATTAAGCAAATCTGTTACGAAAATACGTTAATTAAGGCATTATATATTTCCCTTTTTTTAGGGATGGATATACCTTTAACGTGATAAGATATATACATGTGATTGCATATTTTGTTGTTGCATCCCAAAAATCATGGTATTTAAAATCTATCCAAATACAATCCATAATTATCTTATCACTTTTGTTAATAAAAAATTGTATAAAAGGATATTCACTAACACCATTACAACTCATCATTCACGAGTTCACAACTCATCATTCACGAGTTCACAGAAAAAAAAATACAGACATATACCATATAATGCTTCCAGGCTGGGGTACACTTGATATATAATGCTTCCAGACTGTGTACGTTAACAAAAGAAACAAACCTTTTTTTTGCGTCTGAGAGCAGTCCGCATTATTGAATTATTAAAACACATCACGAACGGGAGAGCTATAACGCATTTTCATGATGAACAGGTAATATTTACCTTTGTTATTTCAATTTTATATAATTTAGAAAATTATTTTAATTAATATTTATAACAAACCTTTTTTGCGTCTGAGAGCAGTCCGCATTATTGAAACCCATCACGAACGGGAGAGTTGTAACACATTTTCATGATGAACAGGCAATATTTACCTTTGTTATTTCAATTTTATATAATTTAAAAATTATTTTAATTAATATTTATAACAAACCTTTTTTGCGTCTGAGAGCAGTCCGCATTATTGAAACTCATCACGAGCAGGTTGGGGTACACTTGATATATAATGCTTCCAGACTGGGGTACGTTAACAAAAGAAACAAACCTTTTTTTGCGTCTGAGAGCAGTCCGCATTATTGAAACCCATGACCAACGGGAGAGATAACGCATTTTCATGATGAACAGGTAATATTTACCTTTGTTATTTCAATTTTATATAATTTAGAAAATTATTTTAATTAATATTTATAACAAACATTTTTTGCGTGCGAAACCCATCACGAACGGGAGAGAGCAGTCGGCATTATTGAAACTCATCACGAACGGGAGAGCTGTAACGCATTTTCATGATGAACAGGTAATATTTACCTTTGTTATTTCAATTTTATATAATTTAGAAAATTATTTTAATTAATATTTATAACAAACCTTTTTTGCGTCTGAGAGCAGTCCGCATTATTGAAACCCATCACGAGCAGTCGGCATTATTCAAACCCATCACGGGAGAGCTGTAACGCATTTTCATGATGAACATGTAATATTTACCTTTGTTATTTCAATTTTATATAATTTAGAAAATTATTTTAATTAATATTTATAACAAACCTTTTTTGTGTCTGAGAGCAGTCGGCACTATTGAAACCCATCACGAACGGGAGAGCTGTAACGCATTTTCACGATGAACAGGTAATATTTACCTTTGTTATTTCAATTTTATATAATTTAGAATATGAGAGCAACAAACTTTATATAAACTGAGAGCAGTCTAATTTTTGTAAAATATGTAAACTTTAAACGTGTTTTATATATAAAATTTTATATACTTTTAAACATGTTAGTTGGGCAAATTTTAAGGATATATATATATGTTCTCACACCAGGACTAGTTTTTATTTGAACCAAACCCTATAT